TATCCGCACTCCCCTTCGCTTGCCTATCCACCTTCGCTGTCGCGTGCCTATCCACCTTCCTTGCGCCTTCTTATCCACCTTCCCCTCTCGCTTTCACCACGCTCCCTTTGGGCTGCCTAATTCACCCCTCCCCGTTCGCTCCTATTCAACCTTCCCCTTCGCTCTTCCACCGTTCGCCCTGGTCGTCCTGAATCCGAGCTCCCCTTCGCTCCCTATGCCACGCTTCCCCCTTTATTTCGCTTGCCTAGTCCACCTTCCCCTTGTCGCTCTATCCAACTCTTCCCCTTCGCCGTCCTATCCACCTTCCCCTTCGGCTTACTATCCACCTTCCCCTTCGCTGCCGATCTCACCTTCCTATCTTCGCTCCTATCGCCACTTTCCCCGTCGCTCCGTATCCACCTTCCCCCTTCGCTCTATCACACTCGGCCTTCGCTCCTATCCACGCTTCCCTTTTTCCACCTTCCCTTCGTCCTATCCACCTTCCGCCTTTCGCTCCTTATCCACCTGTCCCTTCGCTTGCCTATCGCACGTTCCCCTTCGTCGCGTTCACTGATCCACTTCCCGCGCTCCCTNCTCTCTTCTGTTCCTCTCTTCTCTCTCTCTTCTCTTCTCCTGCTCTTTCCTCTCCTCTCCTACTCGCCATCCGTCATCTCATATCCCTCCATCCCTCCTCCTACTCGCTTCCCTTCTTCTCCTCTCCTCTTTCCTTTTTACCTCCCTCTCCTCTCCCTCCTTCCCTTTTCACCTCCCCCTCCCCTCGAAATAGGAGTGCGCAATTCAATTAAAAAGAAATAATAAAAAGAAAAAAAGAATGACGTCAGAAGTTGGTATCAGTGAAGCGAGACAGCGAAGGCTATTTCGTGTTTCGCTCTTTCTTGTTTGTTTTTTTTTTTTCTTTGAGAACCTTGTCTGGCAGTATCGTTTCGGTGTTCTGTGTCTTTTCTCTCTCCGTTCTCTTGCTTGTTTGTGTGTCTGTTTGTAGGTCTGTGTCTCTGTCTGTCTGTGTATGCCTTTTCTTTCTCTCTGGCTGTCTGTCTGTATGTGTCTTTGTGTATTTCTCTCTCTCTCTTCTCTCTCTCTCTCTCTCTCTCTCTCTCTCTCTCTCTCTCTCTCTCTCTCTCTCTCTCTCTCTCTCCATCTTCCATCTTTCTCTCTTTCTTTCATTTCTCTCCTTCCTCCCTCCTCTCCTCTTCTCTCCTCTCCTCTCCTCTCCTTCCTCTCCTCTCTCTCTCTCTCTCCTCTTCTCTTTCTCCTCTCTTCTCTCTTCTCTTCTCTCTCTCTCTTCTCTCTCTTCTCCTGTCTCTCTTTCTCTCCTCCTCTATCTCTACTCTCCTCTCCTCTCTCTCTCTCTCTCTTCTCTCTCCTCTCCCTCTCCTCTCCGTCTCCTCTTCTCCTCTCTCTTCCTCCCTTCTCTTCTCTCCTACTCTTTCTCTCCCTCTCTCTTTCCTCCTCATCCCTCCATCCCTCCTCTCCCTCTTTCTTCTCTCTTCTTCCTCTCTCTCTCTCTCTTTCTTCTTCTCATCTCTCTTCTCTCCTCTCTTCTCTCTTCTTTTTTCTTTCTCTGCTCTTTCTTTTCTCTCTTTCTCTCTCTCTCTCTTTGTCTCTCTCTCTTTCTTCTCTTCTCTCTGCTCTCTCTCTTCTCTCTCTCTCTCTCTCTCTTCTCTTCTCTCTCTTCTCTTCTCTCTCCTCTCTCTCTCTCTCTTCTTTCTCTCTCTCGTTCTCTCTCTCCTTCTCTCTCTCTCTCTCTCTCTCTCTCTCTCTCTCTCTCTCTCTCCTCCCTCTCTCCATCTCTTCTCTTCTCTTCTCTCTCCTCTTCTCCCTCTCCTCTCCTCTCCTTCCTCTCTCCCTCTCCCCTCTCTCCCCTCTCCTCTCCTCTTCTCTCTTCTCTCTTCTCTCTCTCTTCCTCTCTCTCTTTCTCTTCTTCTTCCTTCCTCTCTCTCCTCTCCTCTCCTCCTCTCTCTCTCCTCCTCTCCCTGCTCCTCCTGCCTTCTCTGCTCGTTTCCTTCTCCAATAGAGAGTTAATTAGCCAGATCAGCACTTTTTCTTTACATGTAATATGGGGAATGCTTTAAGTGCTGCATCATCTTTTTTTTTCTGCATATTGTATGCGAAATGCCTCCGTTTCTCTTAATTCCTTGGGGAGTGTGGTAGGGTGTGTTCAGTTTGTTCTTGGTGGTTGTACTTTGTTGAAGATATGTACTCGCCCTTGGTTCCACGGTGATTCATTGAGTTTTTATTGCATGTTTGGAATTAGCTAGCCTCGTCTCTCTCCTAGTCCAGTCCTCACCTCCACTTCCTCTTCTCTCTTCCCCTTTCTCTTCTTCTTCTTCTCATTCTGCTTCTCCTCTCCTCTTCCACTTTTACTCTCTTCCCTCCTCTCCCTCATCTCTCCCACTCTTACCCTTTGTTCTCCCTTCTCCTGTTCTCTCCCTCTCCTCCTTCCCTTTTCCTCTCCCTCCCCTTCTCTCCTCTCCTCCCTCTCCTCTCTCTTCCGCCTCCTTCTCTTCCTTATAAAAGCAGTTCGGGAAAACTGCAGGTGGTAGGCAGCACTTACATGTAACCCTGAATGTTCAATTGTGTATGTGTGGTGTTGCATGACTGACTGGTGTCTTGGGATTCATATATCTGACTATGTTGTCTGTGTCTCTCAGTCTTCTCTTTTGTGTATTTCTTTCTTTGCATTTTAATTTCTTTTGTGTTTGATCATTCTCTCTCTTATCTCTCTCTCTCTTCTTTTCTCTCTCGGTCTCGTCTCTCTCTCGTTCTCTCTCTCTCTCCTCTCGCCCTGCCCTCCTACCTCCTCCTCTCCTTCTTCTCTCTCTCTCTCTACTTCTCTCCTCTCTCCTCTCTCCTCTCTCCTCCTCTTCTCTTCTTCGTTCTCTCGGTCTTAATCTCTCCCTCTCTCTCTCTCTCTCTCCCCTCTCTCTTCTCTCTTCTCTTTCTCTCTTCCTCTCTCTTCTTCTTCTCTCTCTCTCCATCTCTCTCTCATCTCTCTCTTCTTCTCTCTCTTCTCTTCCCCTCCCTCCTCACTCGGACCTCTCCTCTCCCTCTCCGTCTCCCTCTCTTCTCTTCTCTCTCTTCTCTCTCTTCTTCTCTCTCTCTTCTCTCCCTCTCTCTCCTCTCTCTCTTCCTCTCTCGTCCCTCTTGTTCTTCTCTTCCTCTCTCTCTCCCTCCCTTCTCTCTCTCTCTCATCTTCTCTCTCTCTCTATCTCTCTTCTCTGTCTCTTCTCCTCCCTCTTCTATCTCCTCCTCCTTCCTCCCTCTCCTCTTCTCTCGTCCTCCTCGGTCTTCTCTCTTTCCTATATCCCTTCTCTGTTCTCTTTTCCTCTCTTCTCCTTCCTCTCCTTTCGTCCTTTCCTCTCACTCTCTCTCCTTCTCTCTCTCTTTCTCTTCTCTATCTCTTCTTCCCTTGACCATCTCCTCTCTCGTCCTCTCTCATCTCCGTCCTCTTCTCTCTCCGCTCTCTTCCTTCTCCCTCCCTCCTCCCTCCTCCTCCTCCCTCCCTCCTCCCTCCGTCTCTCTCCCTCTCTCTCCTCCCTCTCTCCCTCTCCCTTCGTACTCCTCTACTCCTCTCTCTTCGCTCCCTCTCTCCGTCCCTTCTCTTCATTAGAGAGTTTAAATTTCTTTTCGTCTCCTCTCTCCTCCCTGCCCTCCTCTCCCTTCTTCCTCTCTATTTACTCTTGCTCTTTTTCCATTTTTATTTTTTCTGTCTTTTTCCCTTCTCTCCTTTTCCCTCTCTCTCCCTTTCTATAGGCTACTCCTTTCCATTCTCCTCGCATCCCCTCCTTACCCTTCTTTTCCCCCTCTTCCCTTCTTCCTATGTTTCTATTCTTCCCTTTCTTCTTTTCCTCTTCCTATCTCTTCTCTCCTTCCTCTTTCTTTTCTTTTCCCCGTCGTCTACCTTCTTCATCTTTCATCTTCCCTCCTTTCATCTCTTCCTCTTCATTCTCTTTCAAATCCTCTCTTACTCTCTTCCCACCCTCTCTTGCCCTTCTCCCCTTCTCATTCCTTCCCTCCTACATACTCTCCCTCCTACCTTTCTTTCCATCCCTCCTTCTCTTCCTCTCCTTCTCTTATTCATCCTCCCTTTCTTCCCTCTCTTGCCACATTTTACCTCCTTCCCTCTTCCCCTCTTTATCATGTTCCGTCACATTTTTCCTCGAACGCCCTCTCTCGTGTTCGATTCTGTCCCCCGCAATTTGGTTTCCTCCATTCCATGCGGAGTGAATGCGACCATTCGGACACTTTTTTACATGCAAGGAGAATGAAATGTCATGCATCATGCATAGGGGAGCAGCCATTGTCGTTGTTATGAGCGCCATTGAGGCCTGTTAATGTGCGAGGAATTTACACCTTTATTTTCTTTTAATTTTCTGTGTGGAATATATTTTGTATAGTGTTGTGTTGTATGATTTTTTTTTCATTGCTGTTGTTGTTTATGTATATCTTTCGTTTTCCTTTTCGTCTCTGCTTCTTCTTCTTCTTCGTCCGCTTCTTCTCGTCCACGTCTATTGTCTCTCCATGTACATCACCATCATCATCTTTTTATACTTTATGATTTTTAGACTTACCAATGCTTTTATGTGGTGGGCCTGCTGGTTTCTACATTAATGATTACTATTATTATTATTATTGTTGCTGTTTGTAGTTGTTGTTGTTGTTATAGAATATAGACGTGTATGTAATTTAATGAGTAGTGTCCAGATAGATTTACAAATTTGTTTATGTGTAATAAAAACTCTTCATATCTTGATATGGAGTAAGTGTAATAATATATATATATATATATATATATATATATATATATATATATATATTATTATTTATTTATTTATTTATTATTATTTATTATTTATTTATGTATGTATGTATAAATGCATGCAACTAGATTGAATCATATTTTATTGAAATTCCAAAATTAATACGAAGACTGTCAATATCAGATTTTTAAAAATAATTTCCCCCTATTACTCAATTTGCAATTATATAAGCAATCTGAGATGTTTTACCGACCACACTCTTTCTCAGCTGTAATTGGCCACAAAGGAAGAAAGAGACGATATAAAAAGATAATTGGCATTATCTCATCTTGCAAGGAAAACGGAAATTTGTGCAAGATTAATTTCAAGTTAAGTAAGTGATTGAGAGAATTTTTTTGTGACTCGAGAAGAGGAAATCTATATCCAATTTCCCTCCCCCCATTAAATTCAACTTATATCAGAACAGTTGAAGGGAAAGTTTGCTAAAAAGTATAATAATTGAAGAATGAGTCCCGCCGTACTTTGGGAATTTGGGGAGAATGGACACCGAGAGATGATATATTAAAAAAAAATGATCATGCGTGAAATAAGAAAAAAAAATCGGTAAAGAACCCCCTCTCCCCCCATCCGCCTCCCCGCGCAGGAAAAGATAAATAAATATATAGATGAATGATAGATAGAAGTAACAAGAAAAATAACAAAGAAAATGAAAACGATACTAATAGATAGAAGTAGCACCGAATGGAAACACAATACAGATAAAGAAACAAACCCATGATCAACAACCCAAAACAAACGAACTTAACAAACGACACCACCACGCCCCCCCCCCCTCCGTCCCCCTCCCCACAAAGCCAAAGAGAGGGAGGGAAGAAAAACAGATTAAAAAAAGAAAAGAAAATAGCCCCCCACACTCACAACGTTCTTATCTTATCCCGTCAAACGCAGCGACGGACCTTCAGGAGAGTCGGAACAGAGCCGCCCTAAGAGTCCAAGGGTCCTTCGTTGAGAGTGAACAACTCGGTGGAGCACGTCGCATGAACGAGGCCGCCCTCGACGTCAGCTCCAGCCCGCCCGTCAGCCCTCTCAGGCCTTGGCTCCGCGCCAGCTCCCTTCAGCAGCAGGAACTCACGTCTAGGCGAAGTGCAGGTTGAATGGTTTTTTATAATATGAGCCGTGAACGATTCGAGTCGGGAAATGGGGGCGAGACCATCGGAAGGAGACCGCAGAAGGAGGAGAAGGAAATCGAGGAAAGAGGAGTACTGACATATACAGACGGAGGTGCACAAGGACGAGGGGAAGTTGGGCAAGGACGGTAGAGTAGAACGGGGAGGGAGAGGAGAAGGGAGTAAGCAGTAAGTAGGCCCGAGACGGAAGGACCACTCCAGGTAAGCAGGTAGTAGTCGCGCGGAGGTGGAGGAGGGGCTGAGTAAAAAGGGGCAGAGGGGAGCAGGGGCGGAAGATAGAGCGGTAGGGAGAGGACCGTGGGAGTAGTGGGGAGGGTCGAGAGCGGTGGGCCAGTCAGTAGGGGAGGGGACGAGGGTGGGATAGTAGGAGGAGGGGAGAGGGAGCCCGTTTACCGGGATAGTTAGGGGAGGACCGCCGCAAAAACGAACACCACGCACAGGTCCTGACCTCGACGCGCCCACTCCAACATCAACGCGACCACCGTGTGATTACAGAGGCAGAGGGGAGTTAGTAGGCGGAAGGGAGCAGGTGTCAGTGGGCAGTCAGTAGGGCGACGCCCGGGAGAGGAAGGCGGGGAAGTAGTTTAGGGGCGCAGGGTGGCAGCAGGCGCGGCAGTAGTATGGGGAAGACGATCGAGCAAGGAGGGCATTACAAGTAACGAGACAGGGCTCATGGAAGACCAGGCGCTAAACACCGCCAGGACGACAGACAGGGATATAGGGAAAGAGAGAGGAGAGGCAGTGGATGTAGATGAGAGGCGAGAGGGGTCGAGGGAGTAAGCTGGTGATGAGGGTGAGGGAGGTGGGAGTGGAGGGATGGGGTGGAACAGAGGTTGGCATGGCTTGAAGGCTATGGGGGATAGGGCGAGCTGCGGGGTGCGTGGGAGAGGGAAGGGATTGCGGTGGGAGGGGATAGTGATGGAAAAGTGTGTGACGCG